GACGCATGACCTGCCGGCCCTTCCGAAGATGCAAAAGCTGCTGCTGCTTCTGCTGCTGCTGCTGCTGCTGCTGACGGCAGCAGCAGCAGCAGCAAACCCAAAGAGGGGCTGTATAGGGCGCGGTTCTCTAAGAGCCCCGGCAGCAGCGTGCAGCGTATCCACTGCCAGTCTGCTGCTGCTGCTGCTGCTGCTGTTGCTGCTGCTGCTGCTGCTGCTGCTGCTTCAGGGGGAAGACAGCAGCACGGCCCTGTCGCCATCAGAGTGCGAGACAACAGATCCTCAGCAGCAGCAGCAGCAGCAGCAGCAGCAGCAGCAGCAGCAGGTGTCTCCTCCTGCTGCGCAGCAAAGAAGTAGCGCAACGACTCAGAGACAAACGCCGACTGCGTGGCTGTCTTCAGCCGCTGGCGGTCCTCTGCAACAAACGCAGCAGCAGCAGCAGCAGCAGCAGCAGCAGCAGCAGCAGCAGCAATAGCAGGAGCAGCAGCAACAAAGATGCAGCAGAAGCATAACTGAGAGACGCATGTAGGCAGCAGCAGCAAAACGGGCAGTGCAGCGGCTGCAGTTGCTCCAGCAGCAGCAGCAGCAGCAGCAGCAGCAGAATCCAAGACAACAGCAGCAGCACTAATCGAATGCTGCTGCAGCAGCAACAGAGAGATCCTCAGCCAGCAAGCAGCAGCAGCAGCAGCAGCAGTAGCAGCAGCAAACACCAAGCAGCAGCAGCAGCAAATGCTGCTGCCACCGCATCAATCCAGAAAAAGCATAACCAACCCAAAGCAGCAGCAGCAGCAGCAGCAGGAGCAGCATGACCAGCTGCAGCAGCAGCAGCAGCAGCAGCAGCAGCAGCAGCATGAATACCTTGTGCCTGAGTCTGAAACTGTTTTGCTGCTGGCAGCAGCAGCAGCTCTGGCGTCAGCAGCTCCTCCGCGCTGTGCAGCAGCAGCAGAGCAGTGCGCCAGTCCCGCAGCAGCAGCAGCAGCGGCAGCGAAGAACAAAGGGCCCCCAATGACTGCAGGGCCTCCAGCTGTCTATACAGCACACACTGCTGCTGCCGTTGCCTGCAGCAGCAGCAGCAGCAGCAGCAGCAGCAGCAACAGCAGCAGCAGCAGTAGCAGCAAACGCAACAGCAAACACAACACATACTGTAAG